TGGTGCCCTTTCCACAAAGCCAAGATGGAAAGAGCCAGGAGTCTATTTGCATGTGATATGCAGGATGATTTGCATATATGCTCACGTGATTTTTCTCTAGAGAGTTCTGTATAAGGTTTACTGTTGCTGTTTCCGGCTAATAGGCAGAATACAGTGCAATGGGAAGAGCCCAGGCTTGAAGCAAGACAGTCGGCTGGGGTCTCTGCTGGGCTCAGAATGTGGGTCACGTGGCAGGAGCCACTCTAGACCCCACCCTGACTGTGTACCAGGCCCCTGTCTGCCCTCAGCTGAGCCCAAGGGCCCCAAATTATGGAATCACAGGCAGTCTCGCCCTGAAGAGGCTGAAGTTCACAGAATCTAAGTTCTTACCCTCTTATCCCCATCGCTGCCCAGTTCACAAATGAAAGGACAAGTTTGGGGAAGCAAAAGGCCCCGTGACAACCCCTTAGGGATCCGGTTTCAGGCATCTGTGAGGCTGTATGGGAGAGAGGGGGAAGGGGAAGATGGAGAACAGGTGAGGGAGAGAGGAAAACAGAGCTGGGGAGGGGAGGGAGAAAGGGGCATCGGTCACCACCTCACTGTGGGAAATGCTAGGTTGTGCTGGGTCCTGGTGTCCTGGTGGTTGTGAGTGTGTGTGTGTGTATTCCCCGCCTCCTCTCTCTGCCCGCACAGGACACCCCGGAAGAGTGGGCTCCCAGAGGGAGGGCCTGGTGGGCCCCTTGGCACGTTGAGCAGGGCTCCCTGAATCCTCACAGCAGCTCCTGGAGGACCACATTGCTGCTGCATTTTATAGGCAGAGAAACAGGCTGCGAGAGTTGAGGACTTGCCGAGCGAGGGTCCCCAGAGCGGAGGTGAAGTGGTAGGATTCTGACTCAGGGCTGCTCAAGTCTAAAGCCTCAGCGATGCACACGCCCCTGCTGTCTCCTGAGGGTGGCACACCTTCCACGGTCGTGTGGCCTATGCGTGGGCTTAACCGATTCATTTATGAACGGTCTGAAGGGGCAAGCACTCTGCAGGTGGGACTTTTCAGTAAGCCATGCGCCAACACCTCCAGAAAGCTTCAGCGCAAGAATATTCACTCAACCGGAGGCCGGAGATCTGACGTGCAGTCCCGGCCGAACTTCTGACGTGCTCCGTGGTCTCCCACGTGGGTAAACGAGGAGGGTTTAGCTAACGGCTCTCTTGGGAAGGAGGCCAGGAAGGCAGGGCACGTGGTACAGGAGTCACATGCCTGGGTTTGGGTTCCCAGTAAGGGTAAGAGGAACCATCCTGGGCACCTGCGGATGCTCCATGAACGCTACTTCCTCCCCTGCGAATAACACTTCTTCAGTGCTTACTGCATTCCAAGTACCATCTTAAGTATTTTATGGTTATTAACTCATTTAATCTCCACAACAACCCTATGAGGCAGGATCTCTATTATTATTCTCCTTTTGAGATAAGGGGACTGAGGCAAGGAGAGGTTACAGGACATCCCCAAGGTCATCCTGTACCAAGTGGGGGAGCTGGGCTTCAAATCCAGGTGGTGTAGCCCCAGAGACAACAGCTCACACACACTCTGCTACAGAGCCACGTGGGAGTGACCTTGACCTCCCACACCATAGTTGGAGAACAAGGACAGTTTGGCCTCACAGAGGCCAGAAGCGGGGTTGGGGGCAGTAGAGGGTGACTGACAAGCAGCCGTCTCCCCAACATGCAGAGCCTCGAGGAAGTCACAGCCCGCCCCCCCACCACCGCCGAATGCCACCCCCGCCAGAGCCCTGCCACGACAGGACTTCACTCTACTCCCAGCAGCAGGTGCATCAGCAGCTCGGCCGTGAGAACCGAGGTCCCAGCCAGATGGGGATGACCAGGCCCCAAATGTTTGTCCTCCACTCAAGGTCACTGAGCCAGTTAATGGGGAAACAGAGTTAACAGAACCAAAGGTACCTCGGCAATCAATCTTCCAGGCCTTAGACCCACCCTCCTGCTCTCCCCAGAACAAGGTGGGCTGGGGAGGGGAATACAGCTGAGGGCTGGGTCTGGGGAAGAAAGCCCCAACTGAGCCCCACGGGGCTGTGGTCTGGGCTGTCGCCAGGGGGCTGGGAGGCCCTTGGGGAAGACCATGCCTCAGTTCCTCATTGGCAAAGTGGGGGAATCCTGCCTGTCTTGAGCTGCCTCAGGAAGGGTGAATTGTCTTCAGTGGCAGTTACAGAGATAGGGACAGAGGAAGACCAAGTCTGGGGAGATGGGTCCCGGCGTCACATCCGCCATGAATTAGCTGTGTGATCCTGGGTCAGCCACCTCTCTCCCCTGAGGCTCCCAGTCTCACATGTCAAATGTGCTGGTTGTTGTGGGGTGGCCAGAACACTATGCTCTTCCAGGCAGGAAGCTTGGCCCTCTAGTCCTTCTAGGCCCCCTCACTCCTCCAGCAAAAGAGCATGCACAGGCTTGGCAGACCCAGCCGCAAAGCCCCCTCCTCTCTTTACTGGTTCTGTGAACCGGAGGTTCCTCTTTCTGGTCTCAGATTTAGCATCCGAGAGCCAAGACAGCGTTTGTTCCTCACAACAGCCCCACGAAATGAACAAGACAATGCGCATTTTACAGATGTGGAAAATGACACTCTAAGATCCAGCCCTGGGTCTCAAACAGCTAGGTTTAAAGGGAGAGCAACGAATATAAATCAAATGCATAACAAATCAGGGCCAGAAAGATGACCACTGGGTAACCCACAAGGCAGGCACAAAGCAGGGGGCTGAAGGGAGTGGGCACAAAACCTCCTAGGCAGAGGGGCAGCAGGTGCAAAGGCCCAGTGGTAGGGAGAAGAGTTTCCAGGGATTAAGTTGTGTGGAGCTGGGATATAATGAGGCCAAGGCCCCCTGGCAAGGGCCACACCATGGAGAATTGTGAGTGTCATGCCAAGGAGTTGGGAGTTGATCCTGAGAAGGTAGTGGGAAGGCATTAAAGCCTCTGTCAAGGAGTGAACACTGACTGAAAGCCTCAGTGATAGACAGCACTGAGTCTATCGATAAACTCAGCACCATCCAGGGTCAACAGAGGGAGCACCTGGGAGCTTCTCGACTTCTCTGTGCCTCGGGCCTCCTCTGTAAAATGGGATAGTGACCCTACCCTCTGTCTGCTGCCCACAGAGGGGGTGGGCACGGAAGTGTGGGCTCCCAGGGATGAAGTATTGATGGTAAGGCTACTGTCTTTTCACAAATAAGGACAAAAGAGTTGCATCTGATCAGCTGGGGAACAGGCTGCTGCCAAGTTTAGTAACTGACAGATGGCTGCCAGTAAAGAAGTTGGTACAAGCAGGAGGGCCCTGCGAGAGGTTACTGCAAGGACAGTGCGGGGAAGAAGGAGGCTGGAAGTGAGAATGCCAAGGAGGCAGTTAAGGTGGCCGGAGCGGGGAGTTGAGACCCCCCAGCCATGCCTCTGAAGAGCTGCTTGTCTTTGGGCAATCACTTCCTCTCCCTGAAGCTCAGGCTCCTTGTCTGAAACCAAGAGGGAGGAAGTGGTGCCTAACCACAGCCTTGTAAGAAGACGAACGGGGAAAATAAGACCCATATGTGTTTGCAGAGTGCCTTACAGATTACCTGCTTCATCTTCTCAGATCCCATGGGGAAGGGGGTGACATCTGTTGAGGGCCTGCTGTATGCCAGACACAGGACTGGGTGTTTGTTTACATTCATCTCATGCCAGTTTCATAACAGCCTTCCCAGATACATATTGATATAATAATTTATTTTACATTTGAGGAAACCGAACTGCTGGGAAGTGGCCGAGCCACTTGCAGAGCAATTGCATTCCACAGTTATACACCCTAGAAAAGTATCTGCACACGTGCACAAGGCCCACAAGGCGACACCTATGTATCACATTTGTGGGATACAAATAGGACACATTTGTATCAGCATTGTCTGTAAGAAAATACACTGTACACAACCTAATGGTCCATCTTCAGGAGAACGGATAGGTAAGTTGAGGTATAGACAGACATGGAATAGAATACATGATGAAAACAATTGAATGACAGCTATTCAAGTTCCAACACATACAGAATGGTACCATTTTTATAAAGTTCAAAAACATGCAAAACTAAAAAATACATTGTTCAGGAATGCTTACATGTGTAGTAAAACTATTAAGAAGGACAAATACAAAATTCAAGCTGATGGTTATTTGTATGAGGGGGAAGGAAAGACAGAGGATTTAAAAGGAATAGATAATATTCAGCTTCTTAAGCTGGTGGGAACTTGGGCATTCATTAAATTATTATTTATACACTATTGAATATATTTATATTGCTGACTAATTGAATATATATGTGTATATATATACATGCATGTATATATACTGCTGACTATATATTTTATATGGATTAACTACTTAATAATAAATAAAAATTCAATTACAAACAGATACATTTGAGAAGAGAAATTACCTCTTATTTACCTCTGGTTGTCTGATATGAAGCATGCATTCCTTCTCATGGTTGGTACAGTATTTCAAAAGCTGTTTGTTAAGTGAATTATTGACTGAACGAACAGATAACTTTCAATTCTTACTTCCCCAGCCCACCACACTTCTGCCAATATATGATTTGACCTGGGACCAGAATTTTTATTGTTGGTGGTGGTGGTGGTGATGATGGGTGGAAGGAAACCAGATTTATTTTTTTGTAAACCACTGGAGACATGTAAAACAAAGCTAGGAAGTGCAGACGACTCTATGACTCCCATCCTCAATCTAGCACATACAGGAGAACTCTACCTATTCATCTGTCTATCCACCCATCCATCCATTCATTCATCCATTCTTCCATGCATACGTGTAGTCGATGAACATTTAGTGAAACAAATGCTAATGGAGATCAGGTGTAGCCTCTTGAGAAGTGAAGTAAATTCTCATCCAAGATAAGGACCCTGCATGTGACCATACTGTCCCAGAGGCCATCACGGTGCCCCAGATGGATGTGCGGGGGAGACACGGGATGCCCATGAGATCTTGCAACTTACCTTGACACACAAATGAAGAGGGTGTTTCCCCTGGGTGGATTCGTCCTGTGATGAATACCACCTTTTGCTCTGCCCCCTCCCAAAGGTTGTCTGTAAGATAAAATGGAAGTAGGTTACTAAGGAGGACAGCTGAGATGGGGAGTTGTTATGTATGTGTGTGGGAGGGGCAGGGAAAGGGTGCTTTACATTTATCTCTTAAATCATTGGGTTAAAACCACTAATTGTATTATGTCCCTGGTCACCCAATATTAAATAACTACATTTCTGTTCTTCTGCGCAATTGATCATATTAATGTTACAATCATCTGAAGAAGTCATAAGAGCAATGTCAAATCCCAGATCCACTGACCATGAAACTAGGCAAGTTATGTGTCCTTTTTGAGTTTCAATGTGTTAATCTATATTAATCTATTCAATGTGTTAATCTATAAATGTGGATAGTTTCTTCATAGGGTTGCTGTCATAATTTAACAAGCTTACATATTGCCTAGTATGCAGTAAAAATTTAGTAACTGATGGAGTAAAATAGGTAGCTATTTATATTAGTAATAGTAGCAGCTGTCATTTAAATAGCACCTTTTGTGTCCGGCACATTATACACATTATTTATAATCCTTACAGAAACATGACAGTTAATACTTCTTTTACTGAGACAGAAACTGAGGCTCAGAGAGGTTATATAACTTGTTCAAGTTCTACCTACAGAGCTACATAGGGTAGAGCTGAGATTAGAATCCAAGCTCTGTTTGGCCTTGATGAAGTAAGAGGGACCAGATTTCTCTCTCACCTTAAGCAACTAGAAGATCGGACAAAATATACAAAACAACTCTTTTCAGACATTGAACAAGACTAACTCATGAGCAAGACTAACTCATGAGAAAAGGAAAACTAATGAGGCATGCCCCATGACTGCCCTGGTTTTTTGCCTGGAGGCCCACCCCAGACCAAAGAGCAGAGAGAGGTATCCTCAACAGAGCATGGAAATCTCACTGAGATTGAAGTTCAGGGCGTCTGAACCAGGTGGTGGTTGTGGGGAAACTCTGTGTATTTCAGAGAAGAGGGAGCTCTGTAGAAAAAGAGTTCCAGGAATCCATAAAGGGGTCCTCATGAGTCTTTGCTGGGTCCCAAGATATGCATATAACAGGGTGAATCTCCATGATGTCATGAAAAAACGACCAGGGAGCTGTGAACTGCACATTCTCAGGGCTCACATAGGGCTAGGAATCATTTGAACTCCCACCTCCCAAGTGGAAGTCCGCATTGATCATTCAGGGCATTTGGTAGAGAATCCAGAAGAGCCATGCCTTAGTGGTGGGGCTAAACAACCCAAGACTCACTCTAACAAAAATTTAAAATAAATCTCAGATGGATCAAGCTGAACAGCAACAACAACAAAATTGACTGCCTGCTACATAAAGTCCAACTGTCTTTAAAGGAAGACAACAAAATCCAGATATTCAACAATGTATAATTCACAATATTCATCATCCAGTAAAAGGTATTAGACATACAAAGAAGTAGAAAATTATGGGCTAAAGTCAAAGCCCATGCTTTTGCTGCCTCTACGGAAGTCTCATTTGTATAATAAAGTTTAGCATTGTGCAAATATATTATTAGACAAAAGCAGTAACCAAGAGTGACATTCCTAGAAAGGAGGGGCAGGAAGAAGGTGCTTAGCCATGGGCAGAAGAAGGACTGATTGACACAGAACAGAACAATGACCTGAAGGAAATTCAGACATGAACACTGAGAGGCGTTCGATTAAAGGATCCCATCTACATTAGTGGACAATCTGGATGGAGAGGGGAGGCAGAGATCTTAAACTGGCTTTCTGCTTCTGAAATGCTAGGACAGGTTATTTGAGAATGTGATTCATGACCCCAACAATTGATGCACCAAGTCAGAGACTAAAATTTAAAAAAAAAAAAATTAACCCTATTATACCTGGATCTGAAAGCTTAGGACTTGCCTGGTCTATTGGGTGACCAGTTTTGAGGTCACTGCTTCCCTAATATTAGGTCCCTATAAGACAGCAAAACATATAATGAAGCCAAAATGCATACTTGAGAACTCACTCTGTTCTCGGTTCTGTGCTAAGCGCCTTTAGGAGCAAAGGGAGAGAGAGAAGGCTCACCTGCTCTTAAGAAGTTTATGGTTTAAAAGAGAAGTTAGATACCTGAACATCTCCTGGACTGAATACAAGCTCCTCAAGGGAGAAACTGTGACTTTCATGGTGTATGTTTAATGATTTTCCCAGGATTCTGTGTGGAAAGGTGGTCAGGAACTGGCTATTCAATTAATAAGTAAAACATACTCATACAGATCCTGGTTTATAAAGGAATTTAGACACACACTATCTTATTTAATCTTCATCATGCCTCTGTGAGGTGGACAGTATCAACTCCATCTTACAGGTGAGGGAACTGAGGCTCACAGAAGGAGGGGACATGTCCAAGGTCATGCAGTAGCAGTGGCAGAGTCCCAGCCCAGTGCCCCATTCACTCCCCTGTCTGTCTCCTCCTGGATCCACCAAGAGCAGTATCAGATTCTACATCTACTGCGTTTCCATCTACAATGTACACAAGGGAGTTTGGTTTCATCCCTTATTGCTGGTGGGAGTTGAGCTATGTCTTAGTATGTATATTGCTTTTTCACTTAAAATACAAAAAACAAAATGTCACCAAGCCCTTTTAAAACACACTAACACTGACCCCATCTATCCCAGCAGCGTAGAAATGAAAAATGACATTACCAAGGTCTCGGTGAAGGCTATCTTCATGGATGTCTCCCCTGACCTGGTATCAACTCAATTGCATTCAGCATTTCTGCTGACCACAGGGAAATGCAAAATGGGCATTCTATTTGCACACTCATTTTACTGAGCCCCTGCGTCTTCATAAAATGATAACGTGGGGCTAATAAAAATCAAGCGTCTCAGGTGCTAATATAAGCAAATGTTGACGCAGGCAGGTAACAAATTGCTTTGTCATTTAGGAGGCCGTAAAAGAGCGTTATAATCATCTTTAGGCAAAATGCATGGGTCTCCTTTGCTTAGCTTTTCGCTTTCATTTGCAAAATCAGTTTAAGGTAATGTAGCAGCTCTGAGGTGGTGTGACATGGGACTTCCACTCCCACCCCAATCCTGTTACCGAATCCTCAAACTCGTGCAAAGCCAATTAAACATATTCTTGGTGGAGACAGCAGGGATGATGAAGGAAGTATGCTTTGAACAAAGCCAGGGTGGCAAAGAAGCTGAACAATGAGCCCAAGAGAAACATATAAGGGAGGGTAAAGCTGGAGGCCTTGGAGAGAGGCACACTCAGGGGTACAGGGCACCCTCAGGTAGAACCAGGACAGCCATAGTGGGCTCCCCAGTTAACAGAAGGTGTTTGCAGTCAAATGTATTTTGTGTAGCATCCCAACTCATACACACACACACACACACACGAGCACTCCTTTGATAGAGGGATAATGTCCCTCTATCAACCACCATTTCCTTATTCATAAAATATTTCTTGAGCACCTATTAGGTGGCCAGTCACTAGCTATTATTATCTTCATTTTACAGAAAACCAAAGCTAATAGGCATTGTGACTTGCCCACAGCTAAAGGCTGGCAGAGCCAGAGTCCCCACCCAGGCAGTCTGACTCCACCTGTGTTCCTCCTCTACGCTTCTCTGCCTCTTGTGAAGGACAATGACATTATCCAGCTCCAATAGCAACTAAGTAGTATTTATTCAGCACTTACTCCGTGCCAGGCACTTGACATGTATGATCATAATTTTCACAGCAACTCAATGAAAAACATCTACAATTCTCACCCCTATTTTTTAGGAAATTGAGTCCTGGCAAGGTTAAGTGACTTGTCTAAACCTGCATAAGTAGCAAATGTTGGGGGAGCCAGGATTAAACCTAGGTCTTTTTGAGTCTCAAATATATGCTCTTAACCACCGTGTCATATCACCTCTGGAGATTAAATGGGGTCCTTGTGGTGGTTTTAAAAAATATATCCACAAATTCTTCATTAATCTCCTCTTTTCAAGAGGTGAACTCCCTCCCTCCCCTTCAGCACGGGCTGGCCTCAGAGACTTGCCCTAACAAATAGATTGCTACAGAGGTGATGGTGCTTGGCTTTTGAGATTAGGCTATAAAAAGACAGCGGCTTCCATCGTGGATGTACTTTCTCTCTCTCTCTCTCATCACTCACTCTGGCGGCCTTGACTTGTGGACACTCAGGCAGCCTGTGGAGAGGTCCCCCTGGTGAGGACTGTCCCACTCCCAGATGACTGCAGCCCTGGCCCACAGCTTACCACAACCTCATGAGAGAGCCTGGGTCCGAGTCAGCCAGCAAAGCTGCTCCCATATTCCTGACCCACCGATACAAAGAGGTAATAAACGTTTGCTGTTTTCAACATGCTGAATTCTAGTGTAATGTGTTAGGCAGTAATAGACAACTAATTAATCCCACTGGCGATGGCGGCACTTCCCCTAGTTGATTGTAGAACTTAAGAAACTTTGCATCTCATCTATTGATGCTGAGTCTGAGTGAGGAGCAAAGCCACAACCTTGGCGTCAGGATGGAGGGAGAGCCTCCATCGATCTGGTCAACTGTCCGTGGACTGGACCCGTGGTTGGTGGAGGTACCAGCCAAGATGCCAAGAGGTCCCAGAGAGCACCAGCTGGGCCCTCTGAGGACAAAATTCTCCCACAAGTTCACACGGTCAGTTTTGTTGCCCTGTCTCTCCTGACAATAACTTGTCACAGGGAGTGAGGTATTCTGTGCAGGAAGAAGGGGTGGGGACCTGGGAGGGGAATATGGAATGTTATAATAGAAAGATTTTTTTTTAACAGAGAAAACTTTTTCGTTTTCTTGACTGTATGATCCCCGAAGGCATCACGAAGTCGGGAGAATGCCCTCCTGTTGGTTTCCGTACCAGACCAGTTGCAGTCTTGCCTGTCATACGCCGGGGCCCGAACAGGTCCACCTGCTATAGCAAGATGGAGAAAAGGAAATCCTGGAAGAGACAACAGCACACTCTGTCACCGGCCTCCCTGTGTTGGCACCATCCTTGCCAGCCCATCACCTGCCCA